AATGGCTCTGGTTAATACTTCCAGGGCTGTATTAAATAGTGGTGAGAGTGGGCAACCTTGTATAGTTCTGGATCTCAGTGGAAATGCTTCTAACTTTTACCCATTCAATAGGATGGTGGCTATGGGTTTGTCATAAATTGCCTTGATTGTGCTGAAGAACGTTCCTTCTATACACAATTTGCTTAGAGTTTTCATCATGAAAGTGTGTTGGGGGTCAGCGCCGTGGTGCAGTAGGTTAATCTTCCACCTGTGGAGCTGGCATTCCTTATGGGCACCAGTTCTAGTCTCAGCTGCTCCTCTTCCAAGCCATCTCTCTGCTGTGGCCTGGGAAAGCAGAAGAAGGCCCAAGTCCTTGGGACCCTGTACCCACATGGGAGACCAGGAAGAAGCACCTGGCTCCTGGCTTTAGATTGGCACAGCTCTCACCGTTGGGGCCATTGGGGAGTGAACCAACAGGCAGAAGACCTTTCTCTCTGTCTCTCCCTCTCACTGTCTGTAACTCTACCTCTCAAATAAATAAATAAATAATCTTAAAAAAAAAGAAAGTGTGTTGTATTTTATCAAATGCTTTATCTGTTTGTATTGAGATAATCATGTTTTTTTTGTTGTTGTTCAGTTTGTTACTGTGATGTATCAAATTGATTGATTTGCAAATTTTGAACCATCCTTGCATACCAGGGATAAATCTCACTTGGTCTGGGTGAATGATCTTTTTGATGTGTTGTTGGATTTCATTGGCTAGTATTTTGTTGAGGATTTTTGCATCTCTGTTCACCAGGGAATTTGGTCTGTAGTTCTTTTTCTCTGTTGTGTCCTCTGTGAGTTTAGGAATTAAGGTGATGCTTGCATCACAGAAAGAATTTGGGAGGGTTCACTCCCTTTCAATGGTTTTGAATAACTTGAGAAGAAATGGAGTTAATTCTTCTTTAAGTGCCTGGTTGAATTAAGCATTAAAGCCATCTGGTCCTGGGCTTTTCTTTGTTGGAAGGTTCTTCATTATTGATTTAATTTTCTTCTTGGTATTGGGTCTGTTTAGGTTTTCTTTGTTTACATGGCTTGATTTAGGTAGATTGTATGTGTCCAAATATCTATCCATTTCTTTCAGCTTTCCCAGTTTGTTGTCATACAGCTTTCTAGTAATTTCTTTTGATTCTTTTTATTTCTCTGGTGTCATTACATTTTATTTTTCATCTCTAATTTTATTTATTTGGATCTTCTCTCTCCTTTTTTTGGTTAGTTGGGCCAATGTTGTGTCAATTTTGCTTACTTTTTCAAAAAACCAGCTCTTCATATTGCTGATCTTTTGTATTTTTAATTCAATTTTTTTGATTTCTTCTCTAAATTTCTTTTAAAAAATTTATTTATTTGAAAGTCAGAGTTACACAGAGAGAGGAGAGGCAGAGAGAGAGAGAGAGAGAGAGAGAGAGGTCTTCCATCCGATGGTTCACTCCCCAACTGGCTGCAATGGCCGGAGCTGCACCAATCTGAAGCCAGGAGCCAGGAGCTTCCTCCAAGTCTCCCACGTGGGTAGAGGGGCCCAAGGACTTGGGCCATCTTCAGGCCAGGCCACAGCAGAGAGATGGATTGGAAGTGGAGCAGCCGGGGCTCAAACTCACGCCCATATAGGATGTTGGTACTTCAGGCCAGGCATAACCTGCTGCACCTCAGCACCGGCCCTTCTAATTTTCATTATTTCTTTTCTCCTACTAGTTTTGGGTTTAGTTTACTTTGCTTTTCTAGATCCTTGAGATGCATTGAATGCTCATTTATTTTGTTCATTTCCAATTTCTTGATGTAGGCGCCAATTGCTATAAACTTTCCACTTAACATTGCTCTTGCTGTATCCCATAAGTTTTGATATGCTGTACTGTCATCTTAATTATTTTACAGATGTTTATTTGATTTCTCTTTTGAGTTCTTCTATGACACACCGTTCATTTAGGAGCATGTGCTCAGTTTCCAAGTATTTGCATATTTTCTAGTGAGTTGCTGTTTTCTAGCTTCACTTTATTGTGGTCTGAGAAGATGCAATGTATGATTTTGATTTTTTTTTTAATTTGCTGAGACTTTCTTTATAGCCTAGAATGTGGTCAATAACAGAGAAGGTTCCTTACACTGGTGAGAAGAATGTGTATTCTGCAACTGTAGGATGGAAAGTTCTGCAGATATCTGTTAGGTCCATTTAGTTTATAGTGTCGCTTAACTCTGCTTTTTCTTTGCCGATTTTCTGTTTGGTTGATCTGTCCATTGCTGAAAGTGGGTTATTAAAATATCACCCATTACTAGTTTATTTGAGTTTAAATCTCCCTTTGAATCCCTTAAAATTTCTTTTAAATATCCAGGTGCCCTCTAATTAGGTGCATATACATTTATCAAAGTCACATCTTCCTGTTGATTTGATCCTTTATTCATTACATAATGTCCTTCTTTGTCTCTTTTTTTTTCTTGGATATCAAGAAATTTTTTAAACTTTTATTTAATAAATATAAATTTCCAAAGTACAGCTTTTGGATTACAGTGGTTTTTTCCCTCACATAACTTCCCTCTCACCCACAATCCTCCCATCTCCCGCTCCCTCTCCCATCCATTCACATCAAGTTTCATTTTTAATTATCTTTATATATAGAAGATCAATTTAGTATATGTTAATTAAAACTTTCAACACTTTGCACCCACACAGAAACACAAAGTGTAAAATACTGTTTGATTACTAGTTATACCATTGATTCACATAGTACAACACATTAAGGACAGAGATCCTACACGGGGAGTAAGTGCACAATGACTCCTGTTGTTGATTCAACAATTGACACTCTTGTTTATGGCATCAGTAATCACCCTAGGCTCTTGTCATGAGTTGCCAAGGCTATGGAAGCCTTTCATGTTCGCCAACTCCAATCTTATTTAGACAAGGTCATAGTCCAAGTGGAAGTTCTCTCCTCCCTTCAGAGAAAGGCACCTCCTTCTTTGATGGCCCGTTCTTTCTGCTGGGATCTCACTCACAGAGATCTTTAATTTAGGTCTTTTTTTTTTTTTTTTAACAGTTTTTGTGTTAAAGTCTATTTTGTCTGATATTAGAATGGCTATACCAGTTCTTTTTGGTTTCTGTTAGCATGGAATATCTTTTTCCATCCTTTGACTTTCAGTCTGCATGCATCTTTGTTGGTGAGATGTGTTTCTTGTAGGCAGCAAATAAATGCTTTTGTTTTGAAGTCCATTCAGCCAGACTTTTTTTTTTAACTGTAGAGTTCTCTTCAGGGTGGAGGGTGTGTCTTAGGTGATACACTCAGGTTTGTCCTGTTAAATCTCCTTTTTCTTTTTTTTTAATCAGAGGCTAGGTTACTTCTTGTCTGTTGGCATAGACCCAGCTGAGCTCCTCTCCTTGAAGGAGACCTAACTCCAGTGAGTATATTTTTCATCCTCTCTGCTGTAAGGACCACACAAAGGGTCTGTGCAGTCTTCAGTGTGAGCTCAGATTCCCCAGCAATGTCCCTTGCCATGTATCCAAGAAGCCCTGATCATGTGCAGCCTCCCATAGTTACTGCTCAATGTCCCAGCCACACCCTGAGTCCTCCCACACAGCCGCAGTGTTTTCACAGTCCAGGAACACTAGCCTCTCAGTCCTGAGCACACAGCCACCTGTCTGTTCTTTCCACCATATTCAGAAGTCTCCACTTGGTTCGTTGCTGGGCACAGACATGAGCTGGAGCAGTTATTACGTATTCCAAAATCGTGCGTGCTCTCTGTCAGCTTGTTATAGGATGCCTTTGCAGGATTATCGCAAAGAGAGAATGTGCCCCTCCACCCTTTGTTTTTTCTCCTCTAGTCTGGCAGGTACACTGTCCCCCAAAGGGTTCCAAGCCAGATTCCCTGTAGGCTCTTCCTGTAGTTTTTTCATCAGTGGCTTGGGCTGCTGTAGTGTGGTCTCACCTCACTCTCCAAACCTGGTGCAGAGGATCTCGGCGGCTGGGGTCCTACATTGTGCATGTCCTTGTCCTCCACATAGGTCCACTGTGTTCCTCCAATTTGTGTAGAGTTTCCTCTGCTGTTTTCTCCCTAACTCTTCCCTGAGACTGCACTCTTTCCATTTTTTTTAAAAAAAACTATCTTCTAGACTGGAGCAGCCAGGTCCCTCCCTACTCCACCATCTTAATCCAATCGCCCTCCCCTGCATTTTCTTCTTTTAGACATGCGTATATATTTACTAAGTACATGTGGCAGACAGTGTGCTAAATATTTTCCATGTACCCAGTTATTCATGGAACAATTCTGTGTGGTGGATGCTATTATCCTCTCCACTTTGCACATGAGACCAACCAACCAAGTTCAGACAGATTAAACATTCTGACCAGGTCAAGGGTCAGCTAACTGCAGAAGTGGAATGTGAACTCGGACAATTTTATTGTAGCACCTAAGACTTGATTTCCTCTATTTTTACATAGTAAAAATTAGGTGCCATTATAGTTTTATGTTTAATTGCTTCTATTTTGCTCAATGTACAATTTCATGTTTTTGTGCAAAATATCAGAATACATAAGTAAATAAAAGAGACATCAAAACATGTCTGACATATAAATGGAAAAATATTTACTTAGAACTGCTGTTTGTCATATCCAGATGCCAATTTAATATCATTATCCCATGAAGGACTTAGTCATGCAAAAAAAGTTGTCAATTTCTTCCTTTATACTGTTCTTTGGGCTCAGAGTCTGAGTGGAAGGTGGAGTGGTAGGATGAGAAGCATATGTGGGTGGGAGGGCTAAGTATGGAATTCCTGAGTTGATGAATTCACAGTCCCCTCCTCAGCTCTCCATTATGTCTCTGTTCTGTATCAGGTGATGTCTTTCACACCATCTGGGAAGTCAGATTGCCCTAGGAGATATTGGCTCCTCAGAACCTAGAGATAAATTTCCCTCTGGATTCAAGGCTACCTGTTGAGTAAATATCCCTAGTGTGAAGTCCCAGGAATGATCTTGACTTCTGGACTTCTTGACTTCTAGGGGCAACAAGCACAGAGAACTCCTGCTCCATGAGTTGGCATGAATGGGATTTTTCCAGCCTGATGCCTCAAAGTTCCAAGAGGTTGCATATTTATGGGAATGACAATGGTACCACTACAAGGAAGCTGATGTTCGTCTTTTCTCTGTGGAAACTGGAACCTTATTCAGGTAGCTATAGTAAATACCTAGGACTGAGTGATTGATAAATGACAGCAATTTACTGCTTACAATTCTAGAGGCTGAAAAGTCCAAGATCAAAGTGCCAGGAGATCTCGTAACTGGTAAAGGCTTGATCTCTGATTCAAAGATAGCGTCTTCTGGGTCCTCCCATGGAGAAAGGGACAAAGAAGCCTCTGGGGCATCTTTGACAAAAATATTATTCTCATTCATGAGGGCAATACCTCCATGGCCTAATCACATCCCACCGTCATGAAGCATCAACATATGAATTTGGGTAGGGAGAAAGGAGCAGACACAAATATTCAGACCATAGCAGAGCAAAATACAGAAATCAAGGTCTGTATGCTTCATCATAATTTCTGCGGAACGTGTGTAGGAGGCAGGAAATGAAGCAGGGAAGACACCACTAATTGCATGAATAATATGGTGGGAGAAGATAGTGCTACAAGTGAAGGGCAATGTGGCTTCCACTTCATGGTTAGTATTCCAAGTGATGAATTGTGAGGGAGTGAAAGGGTAGTGATTGATGTCACCAGTTATGATATGAGGAATATAAGGCCAGGAGGAAGACAGGAATCCTATTAGTTTATCTCATTCTCTTGTTTACCTCTTTTGATACTTAAGGAAGTTATAATGGCCTGACTTAAGTTTTGGGTTGATAGTTTCAACAGCAATTTCCAGTAAGATTATAAGAAACCAAAGAGGTGTGTGACATTGTACATATACACAGAACAGAACAGGAATGAAAGAGCCTCTGCTCTTGCTGTGAGTTTGCAAAGTCCTTTGGGCAACTCATTTCATCATCCACAATCCTCAAATACAAGATGTGAGGGAAATTTTGAATGTTTTCTTTCAACATTAAGATAATATAATTCTGTTAAACACACTGTAAATATTTTCATTTTCTTTTGAATTATACCAAATCATTACTAATACTACTATGATTTAAGTCAAACAGATTGCATTGCAAAATTATTTTCTTCATATTTATCATTTAGGAAATAATGTATAGAAGTTCATTTTTATTGGTATACCTTCAGCAGCTTAAATTTTTGCTTTCCTTAAGACTACACAGATAAATATGCTGTTAGTTTAGGATGCTTTTATTCAGATTTCGACTGTGAGAGTGCAGACAGGAAAGGTGCTGCTGTGTGACTGGACATTGCTAAATATGGTGGCATCCAGTTGCTCAACAGGGCAGGGAAGAGTCTAAGGGTAAATGAGTGAGATTTGAATAGTCACGGAGCTCCAGAGGTCTCTCTGCTCAAAATGTTCCCTCCTCAATGAATACAGGATTCCTTTGTAGGGGTGGCTCAGCCTTAGGAAAGAATTAAACACCTTACAGTTTATTGTGTTGCTCATGTTACTCACACCTATTCCTAGAGGTGAACTGTTTGGGGGCTGGTTGGGTTGCTAGGGAGATGAAGGAAGAGACAAGGGAGAAAAAAAATGGAAATGCAGTCAGCAGATTTCTGAGCCCTTTTTGGGCGTTCAGGATTCCAGACTCAAGGGAACCACCCCAGGAAAAACCTAGAACAAAGTGCCTCTGTTATCCTTCTGATCTAACATTAGACATAAATTGCCTTGGATAAAAATAACATTACAGGGAAATTACTCCTGAGAAGGAAATTTATTGTCTAACTAAAGCAAACAATTTCATCTGAACCTGAATAAAAGCAATAATCTTCAACAAAAGGGTTCTTTTAATACTCAACTCATTTCACTAGTTTTTTTAAAGCATCTAACCCTATCAGTATGTCTTTTGTGCTCACTAAAAGAAAAGCTTTGACATGCTTTTGTTTCCAGATGCTTTACATCTCTTTATTAATTTCAGTCAAAAAAAGAATCTCACACAAGGTGTCATTTTGCTATTTTTTTACATGCTTGGTGGTTATTCTCATAAGCCTCAATGAACAAGCTGTTACAGTAAATTTTGACTTTGGTATTCACTTCTGATTATTTCACTGCTGATTATTTCACTACTTAGAAGACTAAAGCAATCTATACACTTAAGAAAAAAGCAGAATACATAGTAATATTTCTATTTATGAAATAGTTGGGGAAGGCTTAGAAGATGCTGGTTAGGGCTCCTGTATCTCACATCACAGTTTGATTCTCAGATCTGGTGCCTGACTCAAGCTTTCTGCAAATATAGAGCCTGGGAAGCAACAGATAATAGCTTATGTAATTGTTCCCAGATACCAATGTGAGTGACTTGGATTGAGTTCTTTTTTCTGTCTTCGGCTCTGGCTAAGTCCTGACCATTGTTAGCATTTGGGGTACAAACCAGAAGATGGGAGTTCTCTGTCTCTGTGCCACTCAAATAAATATTAAAAAAAATGCAAAAAGGGACTATGGGGGAAAATCCTGTAATAAAAAAGGACTTAATTACTTTAATAAGGCTACATATATTGATATTTATGGTAAATAAATAGTATATCATAACTTATTATGAAAGAATTACAAGAGCTATTATTTACTATCTCTACTATAGGCAATGAAACAAATCTGGAGAGCTTGAGGACACTGAGTAAGGCATGTACTTACTAAGTGATCACAAAGAAACTAGAATTTTTTACTTCTGACTGATTTATCTTCATTTTTCCATTATTTACACATTTATTTTAATCATCAGAACAAATTGAAAGTACAGTGACCATTTGGAATTTTCTGTGGTGTTTATTGCTCTTCAACAGCTGCTCAAATGTAAGCAACTGATGAGCCCTAAGAGAAAATTTCAAAATGGTAGCCAAGAATCCCACCCATAACTCTTAAATTACTTGATAATTTCAAGAATGTAAAAAGATTAGGTAGTAGCCAGTTTAGCATTACTGGGATGAAAGACCTGAAGTTGGGTAACTTTATAGAGAAAAAGGGTTTATTTAGCTCATGGTTCTCAGGTTTCAAGTCTTGCCTCTAGTGACGGCCTTCACACTAGCAGAATCCTTTGTGGCACAGGGCTTCACAAAAAGAGACATGAGCAGGTGCATGTGTGTCTTCTGGTCTCTCCCTTTCTTTTAGAAAGCCATCCTGATGACCCTGTTGAATACCAATAATCTCTCAAAGTCCTCAAAATAGAACACTATAGTCAGATTACGTTTCTACTCTCTGAATACCTCACCATGGGGATTAAATTTCAACATAGGAATCATTGGGAAACACAATCAGCTCATAACAAAACATCTAAGGGGAATAGAATAAAACAGAGAAAGTGACTTACAAAGGCTGACTGAAAAGGGAAGAAGAAATTGTATAGTTCCTAGGGTTGAGGAGGGGGTGCTACTGCATCCTTCTGTTAAGCCTGGAGGAGTGGGCTTCAGTTCCTCAGTCAATACCCCAGGTGACTTTCCTCTGTTCACTACTCAAGCCCCAAATAAAGGCATGACTCGGGCCTCACTTTTGGTTATTGCAATCCTGATAAGTCAAAGAATGGATATGCATTTCCATGAACCACATGGGGATGCCACAGGAGAGAAAGAACTGATTGAAATCTTGCCTAAAAGGTACGCTTGAGAGGGTGAGGGGACACCAAGGGAGAGAAGATTGTAAACTCCAAGCTAGTAATTGTTCAGTGAGCTTTATGCTACCGCAATGAGACACATGAGAAACCTAACATTATGAAGAGAAAAGGTTTAGTTAGCTCTCAGTTTGGGAAGTTCAAGTTCAAGATTAGATGGACCTAATGGTTTAAGTTCTGATGAGGCTGACAATGGTGGAGTCAGGAGTGCAGGTGAGGAAGGATCACATGGTGATCCAGGAAGCAGAGAGGCTGGATCCAGCTAGATTGTATAACCAACCCTGTACTGAGAACTCCCTCCTGAGGGCACACCTCCAATGACCTAAGGACCTCTCACCAAACTACCTCCCAAACACCATAATTGGATTAAGTGTACATCTTCTTAGTTCCGTTAACCTGTGACTTTAAGTTTAAATGTTTGCATTGATTAGGAAGCTAAATTCTATCCAAACCATAGCAGCCGTCTATGGAGGAGAAGCAGAAAAAAAGAGATCAAAATTCCTTCTTTATTCCTAGTCCCCAAGTTCCAGCCTCAGCTGCAGTGTGATCAAGGGAGCTAGGATTGTCTTATATTTGAATGAGAGCTGGTAAGTTGGGTTACAATGTTTGAATGATCATTGGAATGAGAATTGGATTATGTTGATATGGAAGCTTTTAATTACTAAATAGAGACCACATGTTTATAAATTAAAGGAATCAGACTTTTTTTTTTTTTTTTTTTTAACAGGCAGAGTCGATAGTGAGAGAGAGAGAGACAGAGAGAAAGGTCTTCCTTTGTCGTTGGTTCACCCTCCAATGGCCACCACGGCTGGCGCGCTGCGGCCGGCGCACTGGGCTGATCCGAAGGCAGGAGCCAGGTGCTTCTCCTGGTCTCCCATGGGGTGCAGGGCCCAAGCACTTGGGCCATCCTCCACTGCCTTCCCGGGCCACAGCAGAGAACTGGCATGGAAGAGGGGCCACTGGGACAGAATCCGGCGCCCCTGACCGGGACTAGAACCCGGTGTGCCGGTGCCGCTAGGTGGAGGATTAGCCTATTGAGCCGTGGCACTGGCCTTTTGTTGTTCTTAAAGGATATTGATTTTTATGTACTTTCCATTTTTTTCTTTTGCTATCATGCACATAATTTTATATTTTGCTTCTGTGTTTTCCTGTGGTAGGATTTTCATAAGTATTTCCATGCTGTTATGTAATCTTCATAATCATCATTTTAATGGTAGCATTGAGTTCTCTGTATGTGAGCCATAATTTGCTTTCCTGTTTCTGTGTTGTTTGATATACTGACTGGAAATTCTTAAAAATAGTCTTTTACATATTTTAGAGTTGTTCATTTGTAGGATATGCATTTACTACCATTAAGAGTTTTATGACAGGGGACAGAATTTTTGTGGTGTGGGTAAAGCTGCGGCCTTCGATGCTGGCATCCCATATGGGAGCTCTGGTTCAGGTTTTAAATTGCCCTACTTCCAAACTA